CCCTTCTCCTCTCAGGATCTTGGGCATGCACGCACACGCGCCCGGCGTGAGTTTTAAGCCACCGGGTCCAGGACACGAACCGCAGTCGACTACGTGGGAGTCCAGCGACATAGCCATTACGCTAACTGCTGGTTCCCTGGTAAAGGGATTTGAATTTAAGTTTGTGCAGGACATTTTGCCTAAATACACAATACACTGTAAGTCAAATGATCATTAGATCCTCTCCCACTTCCATTTGGAGTCACTTAATTGTTAACATCATAAAATTGGCTCAGTACCCATCCCCCCTGGGCCCTAGCCCCATTACCCAAAGAAAAACATGTTTCTTGTAGATTCTGGGGGCTGGAGAAAGATTTCATTTCTCAGCCTGCCTGAGTTAGCCTTGCGTATTGTTCTTAGGGAAGGTGCAGCATGACGTAAAACTGGCCAACGTCTGCCCGGTGACAGCTTTACTATCCACACAGGTCCCTGTCTCATGCTCCGTTCCCTGAAATGAACATGTCAGGCTCCCTGGAGCAGAGAGCCAAAGAAGGTCAGAGTCCCACAGTGCAGGAAGGCCCCGTATACTCCCAGGCAAAGAAAGCAATCAAGCCAAAAAAGAAATCCTCTTTCTAAGTACCAGGTTCCTGCTGTTCATTGAAATAACCAGAAAGCTGCCACCCTGATTGTGTTTCTGCTTTTCCCATATATTTTCAGCTTTTCTCCCTTATTTACCAAAAGATTAATTTCCTCAGGCCAACAACTCAAAGTCTTTAACCACTTGGCCTCTACTGACTGTTCCAGCTTCATGCTTCAAAGGCTCTGGCCCAACAATCCACTCTCCATCTCCCCAACATACTATGTCCCTTCCCTCTTTCCCCTTTGCCCTCTCTACTCCCTCCACCAGCTGACTGAATCCTACAAGGCATTCACAACTTACTGTAAAGGCCACCACTCCAGGAAGCCTTGACTATAACAGGGGCATCTCTCTTTTAAATTGTTTTAATATTCATTATCCCTCACATATTCAGCCTTGCATTGTTACTGTTTGCATATATATATAGCTTATGTCCTATATTAGATTATCAAGCCCTGGAGGACAGGAACCAGGTCACATAAAGCATTTTTTATTATCCACTATACCCTGAATACAATAAGTACTTAATACATATTTTAAAACATTTCACTAAGCTAAGAGGATGACTTATAGCCACACTGTTAATTTTTCAAGGAGTGTTTCCTGGTTTCCCCAATGAGTATTTACTTGTTGGGCTTTCTCCACTGTGTTGAACAGATCCCTGCTCATATCCTTATACACACTGCTCTGCCTTCTCAGCCTCCAGTGAAAGGCTCTGGCATGTGAGTGAGGAAGAGGGTATGGCCCTCGGCTAAAGAGTGGGAAGAAGTACTTGGGAGACCCAGGGAGCTGACATATTGGAATGACCTTAGAAACAAGTCCCTTAGACTTAGAAAGCTATTTTGTCTGTTGCCCTCAGAGACAGACCCCAGCTGCCTACTTGGATGAGGTATGAAAACTTCTCTAGGATGTTGGAGTAATGCCACACGCCTCCACTCACATCCTGACCTACCTCTGCCTGGTCGCACCCTTCCCACACACGACCACCTCAGCCTCTCTCCTTTGGTGCCCAGTACCTCAGAATCCAGCATGCCCTCCCTTCTCTATGGAAGACCTGTGCTTTGTGGAGGAACAACATGGATGGCACTGCTCCAAAGCTAAGCTTCACCTTGGGCCAGCTTGCCATGCTACTCACAAGGGCACACCTTGCTCATCTGTGGGGGCGTCTGTCACAAAAGCAACCTCATACTTTTCTCCCTGGCGCTAGAAGAAATGTTCTTTGAGAATTGAGCACTTGTGAACAGTCATATTGACATTGTTGCACTCAACTCTCCTAATAGCAGAAATGTTGTCTCCACTACCATCTTAAACCCAGTGCTAAAAACTCAAAGAAGGTTCTTATAAAGTGAAGTACTAGGAAGGGGCCGTAGGTGAGGGGGTTCCTCAGGACTTCCTTCTTCCACTTTGATGCTGAGAGCACTTCAGCAGCCTTTGTCACATGTCTACAGGCCTGGATTGGGATGCATGGTCCAGGGTTTGACACTCTCTGCCTACACAGCAGTGCTCAGAAGACTATGGAACACAAGAATGGATGGATGCAAACATCCGGAGAACAGGAGGACACACTATCATCAATCCAAGAATGTAGATGTGGAGTCTGATGGTTCTTAGACTCCACCAACAGAGAAACCCTAGTCCATGGGTGTTGGCCAGGAAGGAATGTTAAATGTTAGATGTTAAATAGGCCATGCAGGATAAGCAAATTTGAGGAAGGGGAAACTACTGTTAGAGAAGACAAACAGCCCCACAAAGATCCCCCAGGGTGCCCCACTGGGGTGATGGCAACTCTGGTGGTAAAGGGTGTTTAGGAGAGGTAGGGAACCCAGTTCCCACAGCCCAGATCCACTGTCCTGGAATGACCTACTCAGACGTGGACACCCATTCCAATGTCCCCAAGGGTCTGCCACCATGAAGGAGAGGTAACTAGATGGCCATTGGATCCCAGGCAATCCCAGGAGCACTACTGGCTGCCTCATTTACCTGTTCATTTCAGCAAAACATTGCCTGCAGTTGAGTGAGACAGCCCAATACTAAGGGCTCGGGTCTTTGCAAGGATATTTCTAGAGCAAAGGGCACAGACTTGGAAATCAGAAGTCTAAAGTTATGATTCCATTTATCCCTATATTAACTCTTTATCCTTGGATAAGTCAATTTTCTGAACCTCAGTCCATCTGTGAAATGGCAATCCTGAAGGAAGGCTCCACCCAGCTTTCCAATTTAAGGATCTGCCTTCTACTTAGCTGTCTAATCATAGAACCTGCCCATCGATCCTTTTCTACATGGGATCTTGATACTGGATGGCTGATGGAAGGGACCAGAGTTGAGTATTTGTGAAGGACAGTTTCCATCTCCTCCAGCCCCCATCTCCCCCAGCTTTTTCATGGTTCCCTTGTTAAACAGATAAGATGGGGAAAGAGAAGTCATAATGAACTACCTATAACCTCCTATGACAGAACTAGAACGTTCAGATGATCAAAAGTCACCACTTCCCACATATCTATTCATCTGAACTTTTCTGATTCCCTTCTTTCAAGAACTGGGTTTCTTGGGACCAGCAATTAGCGTAATAGTTATGTCACTGGACTCCCATGTAGTCGACCGTGGTTCGCGTCCTGGACCTGGTGGCTTAAAACTCACACTGGGCACGTGTGTGTGCGTGCCCAAGATCCCAAAAGGAGAATGGAGGACAAGGGATTGCAGCGTGGCCATTCCCCCTGGGGGGTGATTTCTCACTTTCTGTCTCTCTGTCTCTCTCTGTCTGTCTGGCGAGCGCACGCACCCTATAGCAAAAAAACAAAACACACAAACAAAAAAACCTCTCCAAAAAAAAAAAAGAACTGGGTTTCTTCTGATTCTCTAACACAATACAAAGGTATTGTACTAGTTTGCTGTTGGTGCTGTAACAAATTACCACAAATTTACAGACTGAAAACACAAATTTATTATCTGACAGTTCTTGAAGTTAGAAGGCCATAATGGATGTTACTGGGCTGAAATTAAGGTGTCTACAGGGTCATGTTCTTTGTGAAGGCTTTCTGTGAGAATCCCTTTCCTGGCCTTTTCCAATTTCTAGAAGACTCCTGCATTCCTTGGCTCATAGCTTCATCATTCCAACCTCTGCTTCCATTCTCACAGTTTTTCTGACTCAGACCCTCCTGCTTTCTCTTATTTGGGTCCTGTAGTTGAACTGGCCACCAAAAGAGTCTAGGATAATCTTCCCATATCAAGATCCTTAATTTAATCACATCTTCATACTGTCCCTTTGGCTGTGGAAGGAACACATTCACATACTTCAGGGACCTTTAAGAAGGGCCATTATTGGGGACCAGCAGTTGGAGTAATGGCTGTGTTGCTGGACTCCCATGTAGTCAGCTGCGGTTCAAGTCCTGGACCCGGTGGCTTAAACTCACGCCAGGCCTGTGTGCGTGTGTGCCCAAGATCCTGAGAGGAGAATGGAGGAGAAGGGATTGCTGTGTGGTCATCCCCCCTGGTGGGTAATTTCTCACTTTCTGTCTCTCTGTCTCACTCTGTCTTTCTGGTGAGCACACGTGCCTTATAGCAAAAAACTCTCCAAATAAATAAATAAATAAAAAGAAGGACCATTATTTAGCCTGCCCCCAGTGTAGTGTGTTTGTCCCTAGTCACTCTCAAGACACACTACACTTTATGACTCCATATGCCTGTCCATAACCAGTCTTGCACCTTAGTCAGTCGTCCCCTTTCTCCAGATTAACATCCCAGACCCCATTCTTCCTCCTTTTCTATTGACCTTACAAAGACTTATATTTTTATAAGCACTTTTTCTGAAAATTTGGGATTCAAAGAATAGAATAAAAGCAGAGATCAGAAGAAAATTCCAAAATTGTTATTGAACGTCATTGATCCTAGAAATGTGTTGCTTACTGCCTCCCACAGGGACTTCTCTCACAGCCTGTGCTTTCCTCTGAGCCTCCTCCTTTCTGCTTACTGATGCCTTTTACAGACCAGGTTTGCTCTCTACTCATGCCCATCTGTCCCACCTAGTCCTACTTTTTGCATATCCACATGTTAAACCTGTTTAACAAAGGGCGATGGTTCTGGATCTCTTTTTGTTTCTTTCTTTTTCTTCTTTTCATTCTTCCTTTCTCTTTTTCTTTCTTCCCTCTCTCTTTTTTTCTTTTTCTTTTTCCAATTTGCTCGAGGGCATGTGTACTCACTGTGGGGATAAAAAGAAAGAATGAAAGGAAAAGTGAGAAAGCATTCCCAATGAGGGATGGTCATGCCACAATCTTGTCTCCTCCATTTCTCCCTTCAGGATTTTAGGCATGCACATGCAAACGCCTGAATGTTTTACAAGCCACCAGGTCTGGATTCAAACTGTGCTGTCAGCCATGTGAAATTCAACCATCTTAACCACCATGCCATGGGCTGACCCAGCTCTGGGTCTTTCATTGGAAGCTTTGAAATTATGAATTTGTCTTTAACATGGAATATCCCTATCACTACATTTATTGACTTTATAGGGAACATTACCAAGATAAATTCATTCAGGGCCAGATAGGGGTACACAGTAAAAATCAATGCTCTGCAAGATGATCCCACATGGGAAGATTCCCAGTGCAAGTCTGTGTACCAGGCATGTATGTGCCCATGATTTGGGACTGGTTGAAGACTTGGGGGTGAATCATGGCATCAAGACCCTGAAGGGGATACTGTCTTCCCCTCTATTGTTTATGGAAGGGATAAATAAACTTCTTTTAAAAGATGAATTTATTCACAAACTGTCAAAGTTAGTGCCTATGAATACAAAGTATTCATTCATTCACTCAATGAATCTTGATTGTGTATATCCACTGTGTCTAGGTCCCGCTCTTGACCCTAGAGTTATAATGATGAACAGACATTGATAACTATGTGGGAGATAGTTCATGTGCAACTTTAAGAAATTACCATCACTGCCCTCAACTTAATAGATTTTAAAGATCACCTCTAATTTCTGTCCCTTTGACCTTAGTATGACAATGGTCATAGAGCATCAGTAAGACAGTACAAGGGGACTACAAAAAGTTCATGGAAAATGGAATTAAAGTATGAGTTTTATTTTGGTGCAAAAAAAAAAAAGGAAGCCCATGTATAGCTTTTTTATAATGTGCATTGCCCAGAATACACATTTTCTATGGACTTTTTGAAGACCCCCCTCCCATATATGTCACAGACTTCTAAATCTCTTCTGTTATTTCTTAGATAGCAAAAAGACATGCCAGGATGGCTCTGTTCCCACATAAAAGAAGAAAAACTAGAGGAAAGTGGGGTGAGAGAGAGACCCACTCCCTCATTGTCATATTGAATGCACTTTAAAGCCTCAGCTTACAGCAGGATGGCCCTCGTCAGGGGTACCAACGGGGAAGCCAGAAAGCCGTTCACTCCCTCTTGACTAGTCCTCACGTCTTTGGGGAGTGGAAATACATGATGGATTAAAGCAGCTCTTGTTGATGTAAGAGGGAAACAATATCCCTGTTCTGAGGGCTTAAGACGGCAGAGGAGATCCAGTGTAAGTGCCTGAAAGCAGAGTCTGCTTTGGATAAGCTTCCATTCAGATAACGGAGAACCAAACACTCACTTTTCCCTCTAGGCCTTCTAGCCTGTGCAGCAAACCTCCTTGCTCTTGTTACATTCAGCTTCTAAAACCTTTAAAGCTTTCAAAATCTCTTTGATATTAGTGGTTCGTTTATTCTTTTCCCTGAAAGCTTATGGAAGCATAAAAATTTTAAAGCTGGAAGGGACCTCAGAGAACAGATGCATTATTTAATTTATATTTTTAATTTCCCTAATTCAACAACTTTGGGAGATGAGTTTATTCACTCCGTTGCTCTCTGCTCCTAGGTCTGTTTCCATTCTTTGCCTACTCACTGACATTTCCCTCTGGCCTCTCTTCCCACCTCCACCCCACACCCAGGCCAGCTTTTTCCTTGAAACCCGTTCTTCAATATTCCTTGCTTTTCTGAAACACTGTGTACCTGGGTTCCATAAATTGTCTCTCTTATCCTAAGGTAGGGTACAGCCACAGTTCCTGTCTGCTTTGAGTATCCTAGCTAGGTTACCAAGGGACAGGCTGTGCACTGACAAGGCCCCAATTTTATAAACGAGGATAGAATCAGCCAGAGGCATCCTCCAGGGTACAGCCTGCCTGCTCAGGCTTGTGAAAAAGTGGGTTACTGTGCTTCATCTGAGAACTGGGGGGGTCTGGAGGCTGGTTTTCAGCCGCTCAGGAATCTTAGGAGAAAGGAGGCTGTGGTACATTAGCATTATTCCTGGAGAGACACAGGGCAGTGCTTGGATTTGTCAGCATGGAGGCTAATCCAAGACTGACTTCCAAAAGGGAGAAGCTCTAAGTCCACTGTTCCTTTTACAAGGAAAAAGGAGGAGCCAGACAATGGCATAGTGGTGACACAACTGGCCCGTACAAGAAAGGTCCTGAATTCACATCTCAGGACCTCGCTGAGCACAGCAGACATGCACATACCTGTAATCCAGGCTGGCTGAGGTTGGAGGTGTATCATAGCATAGGGACCCTGTTGGAGGGTCTCTGTCTCTCTCTCATGGAAGAATTAAAATAAGATAAATAAATAAAAAGAAAATGGAGAAAGAACAGCATGATTTCATGAGCCACAATCACAAAACCATCCAACATCTCCCTCCCTTGAGGCTCTTGTCTAGAATTTAGGTCACATTCATGGGGAGGGGGACAGAGGCACCCTCTTAAGCCCACTATTTTTCTACAGAGGACCACTGGGGTCAGAACCTGCACAGTCCAGACAGCTCTGAACATCTGGCTGAGTGTACTTGAATTTTAGGGCTGAGAGTGTATTTGACCATAGCATGGGAAGCCAACCCTCTGAGACAGATGCTAAGACTGGGGAGCTGGGGGAGAGCAACTGCTGTCAAATGCCACCGCACACCCACTGTCTTCCCTTCCTTTCCAATCCCACCTGAGCAGGACAGACTATTCCTAAAGAGGCCTCAATCAACATTCCATCCTGATCTGGATGCTGTGGCTTCTACCCGTTCCTCTGAAGATGACTCTTACGGTCCAGTGCCTTTCCAAGGACAGAAGGCAGCTTCTAGCATAGTGGAGTGAGCCCCCTGTGGTAGGTAAAGTAATGGCCCCAAAATGTCCACATCTGAATCCTCAGAATTTATGAATATGGTATACTTCACATGGCAATGGAGATAGATTTGAAGATCATCTTGGATTATCTGGGCAGGCTCAATATAATCACAGGCTCCGTATGACATGGAGAAAGGACGATGTGAGTCCGACAGAGAAATTGGAAGATGCTGCACTGCTGACTTGGACAATGAAGGGCCAAGATCCAGGAGTGCAGGCAGCTTCTAGTGCAAGAGAATAGATTCTCCCTAAGCCTCCAGAAGGAACACAACCCTGCTGATACCATGATTTAAGCTTGGTGAGATCCATTTCAGATTTCTGATCTCTGGAACTATCAGGTAATAAATTTATGCTGTTTTAAGCCATTGAGTTCATGGTAATTTTTCACAGCAGCACTAGGAAAAGAATATGCCATATAAAAATGAAAGCAGCAGG